CTTATGAACCATGTTGACACTCTCCTTCTTTATTATCCATTGCCCTTATTGGGATAGTGATATTCTACTTACTATTTTAGTTTGTCATACAAGTTCTGTGTCACACTTCAAAGAATCACAGATATATTTAAAAATAGCCTTTTTGTGGCCTACTGTCTACTTTCTCAGATGCACAAAACATTTAGGAGTTCAGGTACAAATATAACATGCCTAGTTGGACTTGGATTGTTGAAAGTGAGGCTTTGAGGGAAATTCTGTACAGGAAGTGATGTCACAGAACGATGTGCTTCTTGCTGTTAGGTATCACAAATTCTGATAACAGAAACATTCTGAAAGTACATAGGAGTCATAGGGCAAAATCCCCACACATACCTATGTAAAAAGCAGAACTTTTGGAGGCCTGTTGCCCCAAGTTCAGAAATCACCTTAAACATATCAGTGAATTTCTTAATGAGAGGCAATTGGCCTCCAAATATTACACTGCTTGTGCTCTGCCAGCATAACTAGGGAAAAGGATTTTCCTGTTGCCCCAAGTTCAGAAATCACCTTAGACATATCAGTGTAGTTTCTTAATGAGAGGCAATTTGCCTCCAAAAATTACATTGCTTGTGCTCTGCCAGCATAACTAGGTAAAAGGATTTCGGTCATAGTCTATGAAGAGTTGGAAAAGTTATTACTTGGGCCATAACTCCAAGATTTTAGGAGGTTCATTCAAAAAATTAACTTCATGCTAGGAGTATATGCCAGTGAAGCACTGTTAATTAATTAATTAATTAAATTAAATTAATAGCCCACCCATCTAGACCAAAGTCTATTCTGGGTGGCTAACACCAATCCAATAAAATAAAATAAAACAACAACATTAATACAATTGAAGATGGCAATAAATAAGGTTTGTTATTAGTTAAGCTTCATTGAATGACTGAAGTTGGTTTCCCATGGCCAATTTAATGCATGGATGAACAATGTAACTCAATATAAAGGTACTAGAAATAGGGCAACTAGATCCAAAAGGTGGATAGGGTTTCTGTACCTTTAAAAGTTAAGTGGGGAGGAAATTTCAGCAGATATAGCTCATGTTCAAAGGCTGAAATTTCCACTTCTAAGCAACTATATAAGGTACAGGAATCTTGCCCTCTTTTAGTTCTTATCATCCTAATTGGAAAGGTAGGTCATTGTTCCAGGTGAGATGTGCTGAGGGTTGGCATGTCTTCATTGTGAATTAAATCCTACCAGTCAGATGGTATTTGACAAAATGGACTAACAGTTTAACTCAATATAATTTGTTCCTTCACCTTTCAGACAACAGATCACCTTGAAAAGCACCTTTTCAATCAAGACAAGCCAATACAAGCACCTTTTGGGAGAAAAATGGGACAGCAAAGGAGGGATGATCAAGACTTTAAAAATCCAAAACTCAAAAATTTTAAAAGCAAAAAATAAAAATACAGTCCGTACAGCACTGTACCAGGCAATACCAAGCAATACCAGGGAGTCTGAAGACTGTCTTCAAATCCACTCTCAAAACACTGGGAAAAGCGAAGAAGGAGACAGGCACCCTCTTCGCTGGTTAAATGAAAGTTCAAATTTTGCGCCTTCCCCGCCTCCCATGCATTTTTTTGGTTCATAACTCGAATCTAAGTTTGCAAGTCGAGTCAATATTGTTCTATCAGAGTGGTTTGTAAGTCAAAATATTTATAACTAGGGCCGTTTGTAAGTTGAGGGTTGACTGTAGATCAGTTGAAAGAGGAGGTTTTTGTGTGTGTGGTGTTTTTTTTAACTGAATCAAGAAATTAAAAATTAGTTAGATTATTTTTAGGAAAACTGGTCATTCATGGTTTGGTAGAATAATGGTATTTAAATTGAAGATTTTATCTAAGATAAATTTTCTATTTATTATGCTACCAATAAAAATAATGGAAAAAGAATTAAAAGATCAACAAAATATAATTAATAAATTGTGTAATGGAGAGGGAAAAAAGCAAGGGTTACAAGAGCAGATAATAAAAATTTCAAAAAAGAAGGATTGGGTCTTTCTAGCAAATTATATTATATAGTTAATCAACTAAGACATACACCTTATGATATATTTCAATCTAATAAATTGCTGGGTAGTTCAGTGGTTTAAATATGACTTCAGAGATTGGGTGTTCAATTGCCCACTGTGCCTTCTTGACAGGAGCTTGGCTCAGTGACCCATAGGGTCCCTTCCAGCTCTGCAGTTTGATGATGATGATGATGATGATTAAGAATATAAATTAATATGCTTAAATATGGAATCATAAGAATGTCATTGGAATATTCTTTCTTTGTTCATATCATAGCGTTTCACAATTCAAAACAATGGATACATAAGAAATAAAGGCAAAATTTAAAAAACTGATTAAAATGTCAAGACAATCAGATTACTTTTGACCAGAAGTAGTCAGAGCCTGAGAAGTGTGCAGAAGCTTTTCCTTGACTTCAGTCATCACCCAGGGCAATGGCATCCATGAAGTGGGTGGGTTTGGTTCTATTTTAGTGTAATGCTTCTGGAAGTGAAGGATCTGTCAGCTACACGCCATGGTTCAGGGAATGCTTGAATATACTTACAATGCTTTCCCACTCTTTGGGGAGTCTCCATCGATGTCCCCCATTGGAACCTTGAGAGGGCAAGAGTATTGTGAACAAAAAATATTGAAATCCTTTCCCCTAAAACTATTTTAAAAAAAATGGAATAAGTATAGAAAAATATATCCACGAAATTTAAAATGAAATATGGAAAATTATTAAGAAAAAAATAAGTTATTAAGATAAAAGATGTGTTAGAACTCATGGAAAATAGAACAAATAAAAGAAGAGTTGGGGATGGAGAGAATATCTTGGTTTAATATTATCCAATTTGGGCAATGGACAAAAGATTAGGACTGAAGGACTGTATCTCCTCATATGAGCCTTTTTGGTGCTTAAGATCATCAAAATAGAAAACTTCCTCTTGGTCTCATTCCCGTGCAGGCATGGCTGATGGGGACACAAGAGAGGACTTTCTCTGTGGCTGCTCCCAGGTATGGGACGTTCTTCCTTGCTCCCTCCCTTTTATCCTTCCACCAACAGCTGAAGACCCACCTTTTCAAGCAGGCTTTTAAGAATCCTGACTGAGTACCTGGATACATTTTTTTTAAGTTCATATAGTTTCTAATGTGTTTTTAATTGTTCTATTGAGTTTTAATCAGTTTTATAGTTAAATTGTTTTTAATGTATATTTCACTATGTTTTTAATTCTGTTCTTTTTAATACTGTGAGCTGCCTTGGGGTCCCTTATCAGGAGAAAGACAGCCTATAAATAAGACACCTAACTAACTAACTAACTAAATAACTGGTAAATGTAGAAAACTCGTAAGATTTGGGAAAAAATGATATTACAAATGGAAAACACAGATGGAAAATAGGGTAATGAAAGGAATTAAAATATATAAAATGTTATTGGAAGCAGAGGATCACTAGGATTTTCTTAAAACATTATGGGAATATGATTTTGGAGAAGAAATCAGTACCAAGGTTTTGGAACAAAATATGGGAGATAATAATATTGAAACCCATGTCTGTAATGATAAAGGAAATAATATTATTTAATTTGGGATTGTATTTAATTACAGTGAAATTAAATTTAATAGGTATTAAATATTCTAAGTTTTGTTGAAGAGGATTTCATAAAATAGGTACAGTAGGATCTCCATATTTGTAGGATCAGTATCCACTGATTCATTTATCCAAAGTTTGGAAATATAAAAAATATTAAAAGAAAAAAATCTAGAAAAAAACTGTTTTAGCGTGTATCACCAGACCTGGCCACTAGAGGGAGCCAGACACTGTGCTATGAATACTTGTTAGTGGAGAATAATTTTAATGGTCTCTAGTGCTCTCTATTAGCAAGTTCTGGTAATGCATGAGAAAATATTTTTTTCTGGGTTCCCCCCCTTTTTTTACTATGCTATATAGTGTTCACTATTATCTACAGTTTTCAGTATCCACATGGGGGCTTGGAACCAATCCCAAATGGATATGGGGGTCCTACTGTACTTATTTACATATGTAGATGAAATGTGAGAATATATTTACATTTTTGCAATTGGTTTTCAAGGAAAAAATGAAATATGTAAGTTACATTTACAGTAGATGTAAATTTATATGTAAATGAAATGGCACTTATATCAATATTTGATAATGGGCAATGTAATTGGATGACTGAAGGATTAATTTCACATTTATTAACAGTGACAAGATTAAGGGTAACTGGGAAATGGAAAATAAAGTGCAAATTTTCAATTAAATGAATGGTATAAAGAGCTTTGGAATACAGCTATTAATTATGAGTAAATATGAATATTAAAGTAAAGAAGGAGCTGATGAATAAGAATATTTCAATAAATATTTGGGGGAGAATTAAATGGTTTTGTATTAATTAAGGGAAAGGGAGGTGTATCTTCGGAAGAGTATGCAATTTTGGAAGAGGAATGGGTGTAGGGTCAATAAAGGGAAGAAAAATCAGTTATATCCCCAAATGATCCTAGTGGGGGAAAGCACGTGTTGTATAATTGGTTTTGTTGTTTTATATTATTAGATTTTTTTTCAGTTTGAATGTTTTTGCTAAAGCTTTTTCATTTATATAAATGAAAAAGCTTTAGCAAAAACATTCAAACTGAAAAAAAATCTAATAATATAAAACAACAAAACCAATTATACAACACGTGCTTTCCCCCACTAGGATCATTTGAGGATATAACTGATATATATATTTGTAAAAGTATAGTTTGTTCCTCACTTTTAGGTAACCACTATCAACTACTGCTAGCTGAACATTGAACAGAGAAACAGAAACAGCAATTTGTTGTTTATTGGCTTCCTATATCCCCCTGGTGATAACAAACTGGTGAGAACGAAAATGTTTCCCCCCCCCCACCAGCTGTCTTCAGTAGGTGAAAACTGAAATTCTTCTAAGTTTCTTTCCATTTCTTTTCTGAATAAGGATGGGATTGATCAAATGGAAGTGCCGCATGCTGCAATATTGAATGGGCTGTCTGGTGAGTAAAACAAAAACAACGTGAAACAAAACCAAGTTCTAAGCTTTTCTAGCTAATTCAAGATGGGAGGTTAGCATTGCCTTGCTTTTGAAAAGGTCTGAATCGAACACTTAGAAGACAGTCGGGACATGTATAAAACAATAGGAAATAGTATTTACCAAAAAGAAGAAGAAGAGCTGGATGTTGGTCACTTAGAAAATGTGGAATAATTTAACTTTTTGTGCCAGTAAGGCAAAGTTTCTTGACCTCTGTGTAGAGGCATATGGCTGGTTCAACTTCCCTCCAATTGTGCTACTGCTATACCTGACTAAGAACTTTCAGATTTTGTTCCCTAGGTGGAAGGTTAAAGGCAGGTGTCCAGAAAAATCTGAATGCAAAAACACACATGGGCCAGTTGTTCCAAGACATGCTGAAACTATTTTAATTTTTCTTGAAGGAGACTCTCCCACCTTGCCTCAGTAAGTCTGGTTGTGTGTCTCTGTGTGTTTGTGTTAGAGAGATTATGCCTAGATACAACTCTGCTCTGGTTTTGTTTGAGGAAGACTGCTCATTGTGACTTTGTGTTGAAGGTGCCAGGAGTCACAATTGTCAGGATCTCTTCCCCCTGACACCCCACTTTCAAGCAGGCAGCATCAGCTTGATGTCATAATGGCCATTCCAGGCTAGAAGCGCCAACAGGAGGTCATAATGGCCAATTTCCCCTTTCTTTTTTCAAAGATTCTGCTCTTTGAAGGCTGTGCTTGATAATGCAGGAGGAATGAGGACATTTCATGGGATGTGGTGCATAAACCTCTGCTATTTCCCATGATAAGATTTTAAAACTACAGTGGACCCTCGACTTATGGAATTAATCCATATTGGAACGGTGGCTGCAGGTCGAAAAGTCTGTAGGTTGAGGCTCCATTGATCAACAATGCACTGAAGACCAATTAATCTGTAACTGACCGTTTTTGTTCCATTTTGGTTTTGGTTTTTTCCGGTCTATAGGTCGATTCTCTGGCTGCAAGTCGAACCTGAATTTTGCAGCCAGAGAAGTCTGTAACTCGAAAAGTCTGTAAGTGGAGCCGTTTGTAAGTCGAGGGTCCACTGTAATAATGAATTGGGCCATGTTTTAACTCTGGTGTGGAAGAACGAGTTTCAGTGGTTTGTTTTCTGTGAAGTTTGGCCTGGTTGAACGTCTTCAAATGGTCCTCAGATTTTGCTGTAAAGGAACTATGGTGACAAATAGAGATGGGCACGAAATGAACCGTGAACCAAAAAAACCCAACGAACCAGGCTGCGCTGTGGTTCGTTTCATGCCCTAGTTTGAGGATCCCCTTTTGCCAAAACAAAATGCCAAACCTTTTTTTTCCCCTTTGGCATTTCGTTTTCGCCAAAAGAGATGCCCACCCGCCCCCTTCCCACAGCCCTTGTCATCTCCGTCTACTTGTTCCTGCTGCCACCACCCACTCCTCCTCCTCCATTGCTGCTTCATCCACCAGTGCCATCCTCAGAGGCTGCGGGCCCGGCTTTCCTGCCAGGAGCCAGCCACTGCCTCTAAGCATGGGCCCACCCCCCAGATGATAGGCAGGTGCAATACTCAGAGGCAGCGGCAGGTTGCGGCAGCTACTGCTTAAATCCTTTTCCTCAGTTTTACAAGCGCATACCTTTTTCTATGGACAAAGGGTCTGACTACTGCTAAACTTACTATAAATTTAGTGTGCTTGTTTACACTAGCCATCATATTCTTTTCCTTGGAAAAGAAGTAGCTGTGAGAAGACCATATAAAACTAAATCTCGTCTGATTTAATTCTCAATTTATTTTGAGGCTAACAAACCCTTAATTTAAGTTTACCAAATTGCATGCATTAGATAGTTGTTTTTATGAGTACTTTACTAGGGAAACTCATGAGAAAGGTTATTGCTGACACATTTTTTCCACCTCTAAGTTGCCATTAATTTTAATTAATAGTGGAGAGTGTTTACAATGGTTCCTTTCCCCTTGTTTCAATCTTCGTATAACTCTGAAGAGAAGATACAAATTGCTTTGTAAATTTCCAACTTCCCCTTCCCATGAATCTAATGAAGTGGTGATCAATATTCCAGAGTGGGGATGAAATACACATCCGGGTAATTCAAAATTGTCACCAGTGAGGTGTATGGTGACAGTTGCTAGTGCTAAAAATTAACCCCCCCCCTTGAAGTCATCAGGTGCAAGGCTGTATTTATTCATAAGGCTGACTAGGCTGAAGCCTGGGAGCCCTGCAGGGACTAGGGGCCGATCAATGTTTTTAGCTGTCAGCTGTGAAAGACTGAAATGCCAGATGGAACCCAAAATACCCGAAAGTCTAGGGACACAGCCATTGGCTAATATGACCCTGATCAGGTGACTATTTAATTCCCAAGAACTTTGAGCTATTGTTTCTTTATTAAAGGGGGGGGGGCAAGTTCATCTGGTCCAGCAGCCAAATTTCTGCCCCAGGACCTTTGGAAATTGCAGACGAAAAATCTGCAACTAGAATTAACCAGAAATGCACTTCTGGTTTTGAAAAAAAAAGATTTTGGGGGGACTTAAAGCACTGCAGTGCTCGGGGCTACTACAGTCAATTTTAAGCATGATTGCTACAGCTTAAAGCTTTCAGGAGGACTTCACCCTTTTTTACCTTTTTTACTTGGGAAAAAACTTTTTTTGGCAGAGGGTCAGGGAATTATGTTAGACCAAGGGCTATAGAAACAGCTGTAAAGGACCACATGTGGCTCCAGGGCTGTACTGTGGACAGCTCTGGGCTATACTGGTTAGGCATGGCATCCTTGGATATATAGTGGTGCCTCGCTAGACTATGATAATCCGTTCCACTGAAATAGCTGTTTAGCGAAATCATTGTCTAGCGAAAAGCATTTCCCCATTGGAATACATTGAAACCTGTTTAATGCGTTCCAATGGTCCAATGGGGAAGAATAGTTGTTGTTTAGCAAAGATCAGCCATAGGAAAGCCGCTTTGCGAACCGCCAATCAGCTGTTTAAATCGCTATCTTGCGGAGCTTAGGTTCCGAAAACACCTGTTTTGCGAGTGCGTCAAAATTGTTGTCTAGTGAAAATCAGTTTGCGAAGCAGGGACCAAACATTGTCCAGCAAAATTCCCCCATAGGAATCACTGTTTCGCGAATCGCTATAGCGATCGCAAAAAGTCAACGTCTAGCGAAAAAACTGTCATGCGGGGTAACTGTCTAGTGAGGCACCACTGTAAATGAAATGGACTTAATCCTGAAGAGCAAAGGTGAGGAATTTTGGCAGCTGGGAGAGCCATGTTCTTCCTTCCTGTTCTTGAGGCCCTCCACTTTAACCAGAAAGGTGGCTTCACTGCACCAGCTGGAAGAAAGTCTGGCCTGCAAATGTTCATCTAAATCAAAGGTAGACTGTTGTTGTCTAGGGGCAGGGATGTAAACCCTGACTTGATTCTTGCACTAAATAGCAAATGTTCTAATCTTTGTTTCCCTGCTCTCTGTAAACTGCTAGGCTTTGTTGTTTTGGAGAAAAACTGCATTTTCACAAGTGGCTTTTGTACATTTCTCTAAAGTGTTACTTGAAAAAATATGACGGCTGACTATGTTTTGCAAAAACATGACAAACAGATGCCTAATAATCATAATGACCCTAGCCTTCCAGCAGCACTGAGATCTCTTAGAACGGATGGCAGAGTCAATGTGTTGCTTCACTACACAGGAGTGGCTACTCTTGACTAGAATCTCAGAAGTGGTGAGTTTACTTTGCATCCTTTTCAAGGGTTGAAATCTTCAGTTGTCTTGTCTTCACATGTGGATGTTTTCTTTGGCTGCAAGACAGTGAGATATTTTCAGTTGATACTGATGAGAGTTGTTAAAATTGCAAAAACCTTTTTGCACAATCTACACAGAACTACAGTGGCTGGAGGGTTCTTGTGTTGGCTGGAAGCATAAGATAGGTTACTTACATCTTTTTGTCTCATCAGCCAGCTGCTCTGTCCTGGCTTTGAGTGTGTGTGTTTTGCTTCCCAGACAGCAAAGATGTTGGTTCTGTGCAGAGACATTTTGTGCAAATTGTAGGAACCGCAATTGTTAAAAAACATTTTTTTATTTTGCTGTCAGATGGGAGGTGAGGAAACAAAGATGTAGACAGAGCATTTCTCAACAGTCTGTCTCCATTTTGCAACAAGTTGTATTGATTTCTCAACCTGTCTTGATGACAGGAAGAAAGTTAGCGAGGTTACTTCACATGCAAAATCTTTAGCCTGGAGGAACCCTGGGATTTCTGCAGACTAGTGCAGCTAGGTTTCCAGTGAGGCACCCAATTAAAGGAGTGCTCCTCCATCTGATGCCATGGTTGGAGAGGCTTCGTCTGCCCTGCATCTTCCCCTACCTGAAGAGAAACATAACATGTGTGAAACTTTTTTGCACCATTTGCCCTTGCAGCAGGCTGAGTGCACGGCACATTGGTCAAGGATTCCCCACTGTTATCTCCAATCATTGATCAGGGATTACAACAGAACTAACCCTCAATGCTCCCTTTGCCAGAACGCAATCAAACAGCAAGCTCAACAGACCAATAAAAGCAAGAAGGGTTCCAAACACCCCACCAAAAAAGGTTGGGAAATGCAGTTTAAACCCTTATTTCTAATGTTAGATGCCTTGCAACATGACCTACAAAATGGAAACAATCACATCACTCGGTGGCAAGGAAAAGGAAAGACAGATGAGGTGACTGCAAAAGAAGGAAACCAACAACATACTCTGGAAAAAGGGACGAAAGACAAAATCCCAGTAACAGAGGAAGAGGAAGCTGCTGCCCGAAAAAAGAGTCAGGTTACTAAACAGTCCTCAAAGATGCCATTCTCAGATACACAACCTTCATTTATTAGCCACATGGAGTCATTATCAGGAAAGATAGTCAACAATGTAGTAGTAGATGACATCAGAAGGCAAATCCCAGTGCTGATACGAAATAGATATACTGTACAATAGCCAAGAAGGAAGGAAAACACATA